GGGCGGCCGCCGGCCGGGCAGTCTGCGCCGCGGCCATGGGGAAGCTGCTGTTGCTCGCCCTGGCCGGGATAGCGGCCGCCTTCCTGGCCGGGAGGTTCATGGCCTTTCGGTGAGTCACCCGCGCGCCATCCCGCCTCGGGCAGGTGCCTGGTGGCTGGCGGCTCTCGGGCCAGGGCTGCTCCCCGGCCCCGTCAGGGAAGAGCTGGGCTGCTCGTGGGGAGGGTGGCCGTGGGGCGCGGGCCGTGCTGCGCGCCGACCCCCGCCCCTGAGCTGAGGTGGCTTAATCGTCGCGAGCTGCTGAGCTGTCGGGGGAGTGGGGCGCCCGTCACAAGTTTCATTCATCTCGTTTGTTCCCGTCCCCGCTTAAGGACTCGCCTCTGCTGAAGCACCATCCAGGGCAGCAAACCCATCTCCCCGCTGCCCCCGCCCCAGGCTACACACACGAGTTTGGCAGTGTCGGGCCGAGCCGAGCACGGCCGTCCTGCTCTGCCCTGCCTTGCCCTGCCCTCTCTTTGTACCGTTGGTACATTGTGAGCACAACTGCTCACAGGCTCTTCTTGTTAAGCACTTAAAAACCCTTTTTAACATCTCTGCTGCTTTTTTTTTTTTTCAAGACTAGAGCTTGCCAAGGGATAAGTGAAGTTGCCTTCAGTAAGGGAATGCCTTATTGCACTTTTCTGCAACTTATTTTCCCCGACTTGTAAAGCAGAATCGAAGGTGTGAACGTGAGCAGTTACACAATGTGAAGCAAAACCTTCTGGAGGGAGGGAGGAGGTTTGGGGGGGTTAAGTTTTTTTTGTATTACAATAATAGTTCATTTCTTAAACCCCAGCCATGCATCCTGTCTTGCTTAAGGAAAGAGAAATGAAAGGGAATTGCTCTGTTCCCTGACAATCTAGTAACTAATTTTGCTCCTGCTCACAGTTTTGCTTTCCTTTTATGCAGAGCTTAGATGATGACTTGAATGGGGTGATCCTGCCTGAGGCAGGAGGTTGCATTCAGTCAGTGGTTCTCAACCTCTTTTGTATCATGACCCATTTGTAAACATCAACGGCCAGTCCCTACCCCCAGTCGGCTGCCCCCCAGACCTCCAGTGCATGGTGCGGGGTGGGGGGGCCCAAGCAGCCCCTTGCTTCACTAAATGACTCTGGAGGTTCATTCCAGGCCTACTTCTCTGTGTTTCTCTGATAATTGTGTGTGTTCCCCAGTAGCAACGTGAAAACAAATTCTTGCCTCTGCTAACTGTAGCTAATGGCAAAGGAAGGTGTAGTTCTTGTAGCTTGCAGTACAAGCATACGCTACATTATACTTCTGTAGAGTTGTGTACAGTATGAACTAGACTGGGAATCAGATATGACACCTTTTTGTGAAACAAGATTCTTCATGAATTTCTAATTTACAATTTGTTTTGTGTGAGTTTTTTCAGAATATAGTTGCTAGAGAAAACCCTGACAAAAATCTCAACAAACAAACAAAAGATCAAGATAAATAAGATAGGAAACTTTAAAAAATAAAATTATATCAGACTAAAGGCACTATAGAAATATACTTGCGAACACGGTTTTTTAAACATTTTTTTTCCTGACAGTGCTGTCTTATCAGCATGCTACATTGCAACGTTGCTGATGCAGCAGTAAGAGTAAAGGCTAAATAAGAGTTCAGATAACATTTGAGCCTTCAGAATAAACCTGTAAGGGACGGCCAGTTATTTTGGGTGGAGGGCCACTTACTGAGTTTTGGCAAGCCATCGAGGGCCGCATGACAGGCAGCCAGGGGCAGATAAATATTAATTTTCTAAATTTTTTAGAGGTCCCACTAGATGGATAGAATTGCCTGGTGGGCCGCATGTTGCCCACCCCTGTTCTACTAACGTAGTAGAGCAACGGGGGCCATTCTTTTTGGCAAGTGTGGCACAGATTTATCCAACGCACTCCCCAAGTGCCACTCTGATCGCTCTCTCCTACCGAACCTGTCCCCTGTCCTGTTCTCCCTACCCAATTTGCTGCTCTACTTTTTGCTTCTGGTCCTATCTGCTGCTGTGCTGCCGGTTCACTCCCCGACCAGTTGCGTGCCATACACACAGGCTGCCGTTTGTGGCACGTACCACAGGTTGGCCACCCTTGTTTTAGAAGGAGAGTATGTGTGTGGGGGAGGTGGGAGGGGAAGGGAAGATGTTTGATTTATTTTAAGCCAAACCTCCCTCTGCTTGAGCCAGCCATCCTTGGTTGCCCCCCCCCATCGGCAACAATAAGAACCCCAAAAAGCAAA